AAAACTTCTGCATACGCTAGAAGGTAATGGTTTATGTATTTGCAATACCCAAGTTCTGGCTTCATTCCTCAGCAAAATTGAAGGATATAATGCAAGTCAGAATAAGATACAACAGCCATGGCATAAAGGAGTTGATGTTTCTGTCCATTAGACAGTATTTAGTTATTTAGCGTGCTGTAACTTAAATCACTTAAAATATTAGAGGCAAACTGTAAACTCAGGCTTGCATCATAAATGCCTATTTCAAAAGATAGAGTCTGTAATGCTTAGTGAAAATCTGAAATTGTAGTTCCTTCTTGTATTGCAGTGCAGTACAAGGGAGTGAAGCTAAGCCAAATGTGTGCTGTCATGCATATGATTTTTCTTTTTGCTGTGGTATCAGTTTTATAGCAATTTATTCCTGTTTTAAAAAATAACAGAACATTTTATGTTGTAGAAGATGTGCATTTTTCTAACAGATAAATGGGCTTTTAATGTTCATGCAGTTTGTCTGATTGTATAGTTAATTAAAAAACCCAACTATTTAAACAATATGAAATCATATTAGAAAATATGACATAATTTCTAATAAAGATCCACAGTTGAAAAAATAAGATACTTTTGTGTTGCAGTGGACATGCCTTAACGTTCAAAGTTCAGAATTACTGTCAGTTTCCATTTTATGTTGTGCAAAGAAGCTTGTAGAGGCATAAAGAGAAAGACTTTTCAGAGGTTGCTTTCTTTTAACAGGGAATGCTGTTCTGGTGTAGCTTCTTAAGCACTGTCATTAGTAAGAGGAATAGCTACATTCTAAGCCATATAAAACTTTGAATTTCAGGTCATGCGATGCCTATTCGTTCACTGACATTTTCTCCAGATTCTCAGTTACTTGTAACTGCTTCAGATGACGGCTATATCAAAATCTATGATGTGTAAGTTGTTATTTTGCAAGACATGCTAACAGGAAAATGACTTCAGAGAGGCTGATACTGTAAAAAAAAAAATCAAACCCTATGCTGTCTGTAATTCCCTTCAGCTTTATGTAATAAATAATCTTAAATAGTAAAATTCTACACCCTTAGTTTTTAAAAAGTGCATAGGTCGATGACAGCCTTAACTTGAAAACGAATTATTTTCCTCATATTTGCCCTGTAGGCAACAGGCTAATCTTTTGTGTATTTGTCCTGTGCGTTTGTGTTTACCCATCTTATACATCTGTTCTGTACCCAAGAAATTATATTTATGACCTATTTCTGTTGCATTGTGCAAAAACTTGGAAGACCCTGGGGAGGAAAAGCCACCGCTTCAGTGATCTTCACTCCCCTAAACCTGCATTACTTTGCTGCCTTCATGGTGAAAGTGTTCTGTTGACCAGTGACTTTTTTTATGTTAACCATTTGAAATGGAAAAAGACAATCTGTTGTAACACCATTTCAGCTTGGATGAACAAATGTCCAGAAGTTACCTTCCATGACCTTGCATTGAACCATTCCTGACTGCACTAGCTAAACTATATTCCTGTTGCTTTCTCCCTGGAATTCACCAACCAAATGTTAAAACTTGTTCTTTCCACAGGCAACATGCAAACTTGGCTGGCACATTAAGTGGTCACGGATCCTGGGTGTTAAATGTAGCGTTTTGTCCTGATGATACCCATTTTGTTTCCAGGTATTGATGATTTTTAACTTGTTTATGCTTACTGAAAAAAAAATTATAAAGGGAGATGGATCATAAAAAGTAAACATGTACAAATTGCAGTGGAATCTGTAATGGAACAACATACATTGCATTTAAAGACTGAAGAGCCAATCTGTGATGTGATACCAGTTGTAACGAATAGCATTTTATAGTGTAAGTCATCCCACTGTAGTGTAGATCCCTACAAGTGAAGAACACCTAAACCTAAGAGGCAGGCAATTTGATTCTAAGTAGCTGAAAAATTTCTGTTGAATTAAAAAGTGCAACTTAATGTAGTACATTTATCTAGTTGAACTTTAGTGTTAACTCTTAAAACAGCTCAGGCAGTCGGGGGACCAAGTATATGTAACAGGAGTTTCTTTATCCAAAGAACTTGCTTCAAAGAATTTTCTGACTAAAATGGGAGTCTTCATTTTCATGTTGCAGATATTGAAACAGTAAATGTATTTTAAAGGTAGCTGAAACCTGGTGGAAGATGCACTTCTTTGCTACTTCATCCCTGTATTTGATGGGTGAAGGAGGGTTTCTTATGTCTACCGTATGAGATCTTTAAAGCTCTGCACTAAACTAATCCAGTAATTTAAACATTGATCAATACTATTTTTCTTTCAGTTCATCTGATAAAAGCGTTAAAGTTTGGGATGCTGGAACGAGAACCTGTGTTCATACTTTCTTTGACCACCAAGATCAGGTATGTCTACTATTGCTTTATCTAGGTCATTGTGTTTGCAGGGGAACTTTAGCTGTGTAGTTATGCACATTTGTGCTTCAACTTGGTGCTTTAGCTTCAGGGTTGGACTTCAGCTTGCTGTAATGAAATCTTAAAAGTTGTTCATGATTATTTGGCACTTAATATTGAACTAATACTCCAAGCATGTAGGTTCATCTCTTCCAAGTAATTGTATTTTTTGGGTGCAAATAAGGGCAATCCTGAGTGGCCAAAAGGATTCTTACCAGACTGTTATTTTTTATCTTTGCCTATGGTCTTACTTATTTCTGTATCACTTACACAGCATGTGCATGTGTAAGGGGAAAAATACTTATTTAGAAGGATGGAATTATCTAAAAAGATGCTTGAAAGTACCCTTGAAACTTGGGACTTTTTCCTCCTCAAATGTCTGTAATACCCTTTCTTTTTTTTTTTTTTTTTTCCTCAGTGATAGCTACCTGTGAGGGAAGAGGAAGTTAGGCATCTACCAAGTTACCCTTTTTCCAAATGTTAGGTGTTAAATAGAACAATGCTGTTTTCTAATGGCTCATAGAGGAAGACTTAACAAAGGAGATTCTTTGAGATTTTATTTAGGCTCTTTCCTCCATAATACTTCTTTGCTGGTAACCTTCTTTTTAGTTATCTACAGCTATGGGCGTTTTGGTATTGAAGTACCAAGTAGAATTGGATTTCCTGTGTTGTTTTAGCTGTTGTCTATGATCTCCTAAGTTTGTGGAAGGCAGAGATGTATCAGCTCTTGGGAAGGCTGCTTTTTAGGTATTAATGCAAAATGGTGTACGAGATTCCCCAGAACATGCTGTTGTCGATATACCCATTTGCAATCCCATGTTAATACGCTGGGTAGCCTTCACTCTTCCTGATGTCATCCTGATGATGGAGATGGGGTCACTTAAGAGTGTGTAACTGTTTTAAGTCAGAGGACTGAACTGAATTTTTTTAAAGTTTTGCACTGGCTGTCTTAATCAGCCCAAGGATAAACTTGATCATTCTTCAGTCTGTCACAATGTGTCAGTCTTCCTCTCTTCCTCTCCTGAAAGCACTGTAAAATACTCTTTTTCAGAAGGGAAGATAGGATGGGCAAGAGTGAAAATGGTAGGTTTGATTTATGCAAACTGGGAAAGTACTTTCAGCCTTTTTCAAGTTACATTTAGATTGTGTAATGCATTGTCATAGAAGTGCAATGTATTAACTTGTGGGGCTACTAGGTGGCAGTGTCCTTCTCTGGTTCATCAACCTCATCTGCTGTTAAAGCAGAATCCATAATTGAACCAGCTCTAATAAGGGGATCTGAAATAATCCTCCCTCTTCTGCTTGTTGTAGTCAAGATGACTGCTACAAAGACATTTTTTCTTAGTCTGCTGTTGATAACCGTGTATATGTCCTATTCGCAGGTTTGGGGAGTGAAATACAATGGAAGTGGGTCCAAAATTGTATCTGTTGGAGATGACCAAGAAATCCATATTTATGACTGTCCAGTTTAAATGTCTTGACTCAGACCATTTGGTTAACTCTTGTGGCAGTTTTTAGGACAACTACTGTCCTTATGTGTATTTTTTTAGTATGATAAAAGCATTTTAGTAATGCTGCTCTGTTCATATGTAATTTTGATTTTGTTTAGCATGAGAGAAAGCTTTACTTTTTTTTAAAAAATAAAAGCTACAGATGCAAGTAACTTGCGCCTAATCCTTGGAAAAATGTATTTTTGGAAATACGTAGTCATGGGTGAAGTAACTGCTCAGTTAATCTCCCCTTGCCTTTATATGTGAATAGACTGGAGCTGGAAAGTGTTGACCAAGTCTCATAGTAGCTTATTTTAGTAAAAGGAAAAGTGACTGAGGCTCTGTGTTGTCTGCATGGGAAATGATAGCCTGCACTCATCTTGGTGTTGTCCCAATAAGTGCAATAGGGTCACTTAAGTTGAACACCTGTTCCAGCAATTGTATGGTGGCATGTAGCTTGTTAATCAGAGTTTAATTTCACTGAAGCGTGAGTTGTTTCCAACCCAGACTTAATATAAACTCTACTAGAAAACAGATAAAATGAAAAAAGCTTTAATATGATCCTTCTACTATGGTATCCTGTCATGTTATAAAACAGTAGCAGTATAGCCAACACAGGTAGTTTTGGTTTATTCATCTTGGCTAAGGCTCATGTACATGAAGTAAAAAAACCTTTCTAGGGAAGGCTGAATATATATAGAGTTCGAGCTTCCGAAAGATCAGAATTTTATTTGGAAGTATTTACCTGTATGTAAATTAGAAGTATGTGGGGCACACTCTGTACACATTAGAAGGATACCTTATAACCCTAAGTTACACTTACAAAGAGCTAAGCGGCTGAAGGAATGCTACTTACTCTAATACAACAAAAGAACACAGGAGTGCAAGGAGTAGGGCACATACAAAATACTTCTGAAATACAAAATGAAACAGGTACTAGTGTTGCAGCTAACAAAGTTGAGTATGGAGAACAACCTAGACTAGGTGATAGGAGTCTAAGCTTAGAGAAACTTACTAGGAGTCTAAGCTTAGAGAAACTTACTTAGATAAAGGGGGTTCTAGAGTGGCTAAGAAAGTACAAGAGAAGCATGATAAAATGTGAAGACTTCTATTTATTAGAAGTTATTTCTGCTATGTTGTATTCTATGAAATTAATTTTCCAGTATGAAAGTATTTACATAAGACACTCCACTTAGCCTCTATCCATATTGCCAAAGTCTTATATAAATAGCATAGGTGAAATAAATTGAGAACCTTCACAGCAAAGAAAAATGTATACCAACTCAGCTGGTTCTCAGCTGCGTGACACTTGCTTTTATATAAAGACTACAAGAACACAATATAAATTAGTTACAAAAAGGTGATACTGACAGCGCAGCAACTCAATTTGCTGAACACAAAAACCACAAGCAGTGGCTATTACAGCCATGCAGTTTTCATTGTGAAATTTACATTTTAGATGACATCCATTCCACCTTGCTTTAAGATGTCTGACATTGTACTCCTGTTCTTGGACCCTCCTCATCTTCTTCATATGCTTCTCCCCCACTGTTACGGTAGGTTTGCTCACTTGGATCAAAATCTTCAAGGTCTACCTGATCCATCTCATCTGTAATCATAACATCTTCTCGTGGAGGAAGCAGAGCCTCCAGTAGACAGAGTTTCTCCCTTGGGAGCCAGTAGTGCTCTGGAAACTGGACCTACAATTTTATATGTTTATTTATTTTTTTTTAAATGAATAGTTACTCCCACCGCCAACATGGATATCTTTGCTACAGAAAAGCAGTCAACTTACCAAAAATTGTATAATTAAGCTGCCTTTGTCCATCGGAGATTTGTAGACAGGCATCCCTTCATTGTAGATACACTTTAGGTCACCATGTTTTATCACTTCACCTACATGGAGATAAGAGCTCCAAGTAAGCTTACATGACACACATTCCCTAACCATGAAAAGCAGGGTTATACACAAGCAGTGTTCCCACAGCATCTCAGGGAGACTACTAAGCAACTCATAGAAAAGGCTGCAGACTGAAAAGTACTAAAGCCAAGCTATACAGAAGTAAGGCCATTTAGGCTATTTCCTCTACTGTAAGAGAACTGTCTTTTCTTAGCACAGCCTTCATGCTGAATTAACAGATAATCTAGTAGAGTTTAAGTTTCTGGCCTCTTTAATATTTTCCTGGCTATCCACTAACTGAGGCTATCAAGAAGCATTTGACAGCTTTAGGTATAATTCTCCATGTAATGTTTTAGAAGAAGTGACAAGAATGTCAAAGAACCAACTAAATTAAATGATTGCTAGTTTGAATCTGTTGCATCAACTGGCTAAAAAAACAAAACACCCCCCCCCAAAAAAAAACAAAAACAAACCAGTCTAGGCACAACGAAACAGGCAAGCAGTTCATGTAACATCAAAACTCTTAAGACCTACCTGGCCTAGATGATATGACAAGAACTCTGTTATCCAGAGTTTCAATGGTCTTTCTGAAACCACATAAAGCCTCTGAGAGTTGAATTCTCATTTTTGTGATTAAGTCATGCCCTCGCCTCTGAAAGACACTGTGATCCTTTTGATCAAGCACAATTATAACATCACCAGGCTCCAGGTCAGGCTCCTGGTCTCCTTCTCCATGAAATACTATCTTCTGACCATCTTTCATACCTGGAGAAAAGAAACCCATTTATTCTCTGCAGAACTATAGACTATGATTAGGGACACAGAACAAATATGCAGTTCTTACCTTTATCAACATGAACTTCTATGATCTTTTTCTCTCTTACAACCTTACAGCCATTGCAGTTGTCACACCTGTCCTTTGGGTTTATTCTTTCACCTTGGCCTTTGCATTCTGGACACACAGTTTGGATCTGTTGTACCATGCCAGGTCCAATCTGCTGAACTAGAACTTGCATTCCTCTTCCTTTACACACAGGGCACTTCTCTATTGCCCCTCTCTTTCCACCATAACCTTTGACAAAAAAGTTAAATCTGATCTCAGTCTCAAAAAACCAGTTACTCTACAGTAGTCAGGCTAGAACTCATTGACTTCAAAATCACCTTTAAGGCAACTTAGAGTAGTTCACTAATGTATTTCCAATGTAATTGGAATTTAGTTTTCATCACAAAACATGCTCCACAAGTTACACGTTTCTACAAGCAAAAGAGTCAAGTTTTCTATGCAGAGCTTATTTTATTAGCCTCTGCCCCACCTCCCAATACATCTTGGTTTTCAAGGAACTATCAGCATACCAATTTCAAGACCTACATATTCCATTAATACTTTGGAAAGAATCCGCTTGCTAAATATTTAAGAGTACTAAGATACAAGACCTCATTAAGATTTACCTCAAAGAAGATCAGTCATTATGGATATGTAATAGCTGTAAAATGAGTTGCATAATACAAGCTAGACTTCTATCCACAGCAATTAAGAAGAAGTTTAACAAAACAGCCATTTATTAAAGTTCTGGATTAAGATACTTTTAATTTAGGTACCCTTAACTATAATTCACACTGATTTTAAGTCTGCCATTAGAACAATAACTTAATACCACTACGTTTGAGAGTGCCTTAATTCTTGGATAAGCATAAATAACTAAGTCCCCTGGCAGACTTTTGGGGCAAGGGGGAAAGAGAAACATTAAACCCCCCACACTTTATTCCTAGCCCCCCCACCCCTTAAAAAAAAAAAAAGAACAAAAAGAAAGAAAAGCTTGGAGTAAGAGGGGTTTGAAACCACTACTTCGTTTGTGTTTTTTTACCTTCACACTTTCCACAAATGACATTCTTTTGCAGTGCCAGTTTCCTTGTAATACCATTATATAAGTCTTCAAGAGATACACCTAACTGGTGCACAACATTTTTGCCTTTTAAAAAAAAAAAAGAGAAAGATTATTTCTGGTTTAGCTGTTGTAAGGACAACTGTTTATTTAAAGGCTTCTACACTTGTTCATACATGCACAGTCTCTCACTGAAGAAACGTAAAGTTCATTCCAAACTTTGAACTCAGCTCAGCCCCCTTAAAAGAATGTGCAGTTCCATCAGCTTCCACTGAGCTGCACCCACTTACGTCAGAACATAAAAGTTTAGCTGTAATTAAGCAAAGCCACCCTGTCCCTGCTCCCTACCCCTAACTTCATAAGCTGAACTGAAACAGCAAGATGCAAGGACACTACCAGCTTCAGATCTAGTCAATTTAGAAGTTGCTATTATGCCTATCTATAAATTTCCATGCCACTTCATAGCATAATTTCAAAGATTTTACAGCAAGTTACTACTTGCTCCTTCAACAGACATTGGGCATGGAAAAAGACAAAAATCGTACTGTGCTTTTGGCAGCACTCTGTACTCAGTTTCACACAATTTCTCCCAAATATTTTAATGAGATTTAACATTACTGAAGTTGATGGTGTCCTTTGAAGCAAGTTGCCCAAAGCATACAAGCAAGTGAGGCACAGATCTGGAAGAAAGGTAACTTAGAACAGGTCTAATTCAACTGCTCTAACCTACCAATGCTTCCCCCTCCCCTACAGATTACCCACACCCACTTTAACAAAAAAAATAAACAGAATTCATCAGAAAGATTGCTGTGGCTACGTTATGTTATCTACTTTATTAGAATCTTTATGCTAGAATAACTGAAAAAAAAATAAATCATAGTTTACTTGATCTATTGTTGCAATGAGTAATATCCACACTATGTGCACTTAGCAGTACCATAGCACAGGTGTTTTATGCTTAAGTGCATGGTTAGAGTTTCTAGAACTTGTTTAGAACTGTGTACCTCTTCTCTCTCTATTCATTCGGCCTCCACCACCAAAGAACATGTCAAAGATGTCCATGGGTGAAGAGAAGCTGCCGCCACTCAGGCCTCCTTCTTTAATAGCCTGCTCCCCACCCTGGTCATAGAGGTCCCTTTTCTTTGGGTCCGACAGAACTTCATATGCCTGGGATATGAGTTTAAACTAAAAAGAAAAAAGAAGCTCTGAACAACTATGACCAAGAGGAAAAGTAACCCTCCCTCTCATATGCAACTCCATCTTCAGATTGAGCCACTATAGCACTCTCTTGTAGCAGTTGTCTTTTTCCAAAAGGAACCTCCCTACACAAATGTGCAATAGACTAATAGTACACGTTTGTCCAGGAAAACCACCCCTTTTCTCCCTCTCCCCCCTCCTCCCATGTTACAAGTGGGCTTAATTCAGAATCACACCCAACTTAGAAGCGTACGCAAACTACGCTTTGATGATTGTGGTAGTTGCAACCATTATACACCTCTAACAAATCCATTTAGAAAGGGTTGTGATACTATCCTCAAAGTCTTGGAGGTCCCCAGATGCTCAATGGCCACAGCAGTGCTAGTCATTCTAGAACTAGAGTGATCCCTCATGCCTGCTGAGCTACTACATCCAGCTACAACTAAACAAGAGATTTAAGTGACCAGCCACTGGTGTTACTCATCACAAACAGAAGGCCTTAGATACAAATCAAAACATGCACTTTATTTAAAAAAAGGGATTTTTTAAAAAATAGCTATCAAGAACTTCCTATTACTAAGATGACTAAGTCAATTTTTAAACACAATTTGCTATTTCTGAAGTGACTACCTCCATTTTAAACATGATTTACTTATGACCAGGTAAAGTGGTGTAAGTAAAAAAAGCAGGCCAAAAATAAATGCAGAAAAGGTTATGTTTGACTATGGTACTACTTAACTGGTTGAGTTCTGTAAATTAGTGTACTAAATATACAAATATGGAGCTTCTATTCCTATGTTAAGGTATTATCAGACCAGCTTTTAGATAAATAATCCTATCATTCAAATTTTCCACAGTTATCCAATTGTGGTGCTCATGTATCCTCCTAAGCAACATGTGGAGTTGAACAGCTCTCTGCTAATAGCACGTGAAATGGTTTTGTTGTTAACAGTCCACCTATGCGCAGCCCAATGATTTTCTCTGGATAGTTACCTTGTACATCTGCATTAGCATTTTCTCTGAAGAAAACTCATCCTGTTCAGGAACACAAATCCATCCAGTGCAATCCCAGCAGGCACAGTAGTGCTGGCAGCTGGATCCACCACTGGCCTTTGCAACATCTGACAGCACGACGGCCATTAGGACACTAGCGATCCTTTCGGCTTCGCCTGCTTTAACCAGCATCTCTGTAACAATGAGCTCCCATTGGCAACTACGGAGAGACCGGTAGGAGCCGACTCCAGAGAGAGGAGCTAATGCATCCCCTCCT